TCTCCCCTGTTTCAAGACAATCATTTAGAGACAAATTTTCTTGTGAATTTTTCGCGGAACCGTCAAAAACTATACGCAGTTTAGTTGTCTCTCTATCATTTCTTATAACACCAAAGTGACAAAGAAAATGCGACCCTTGTTTATCAATATTTTCTTGAGAAACCTCTTCAATAATACCATCAGAAAGTTGCTGCTGAAAAATTTCATCATATTGTTTCAAAAGATCGGGCTTAGTTTTAAGTTTACTGAACAATGATTCAAGCCGTTTCTTACTCATATCATAATTTGAAGGTAGGCTACGATACAAATCATCTTTAAATGGAAGTCTTACCGTGTAGCGACCATCCTTGAAGTTGATATCCACCCCTCCATCATCGGTCTTCTTGTCTTCAGGATTCTCGGTTTCATAAAGACCCGCGGATTCGTGCTTCCAAAATTTCGTCAGCGATTCGACGATTTCTCTGCTATCATCTGTAATTTCGTCTCTCGAAGGTAAAACATCAACAATTAAATTCATCACATTATTTAAAGAGCTTTTATCACCTTCATTACAAACAACAGGTCCACAAAGCAACCAACCGAGTTTGCTACTTATTGCAACAAGGCCATTGCCGCCCTTTCTTACTTCGCCTTGCACTATGCGATAATAATAATCTACACCAATGACTATTTCTATGCGCTTTTCGCAAGTCGCATAACTATCGGCGAGTTGCAAACCTTGCAAATGTGGATAGCAACTTACATCTATTGGTGTACTTAATGGCAAACAAAGATGGGGGGAACTTAATACGGTTAACGGCAATATTTCATCTCCTACTTCTAGATTTACCGTTACCCTATCACAACTTTTCTTCTCATATTTATTTGAACCGAAAGTGTTCAAGTATACGGTCTCTGTTTTCTCGACCTTCAACCCCAGCTTCTTCACCGTTTCTTCTGAAATGTAGCTTCTCTGACTGCCTGAGTCAAACAGGATGTTCACCAGCTGTTTCTCGCTCCTATCCGCACCAAAGCCATACGTCTGTGCTGTCTGTAGAAGAACATTTTTTCTCTCATCTGACGCGGAATTGACCGTCGTTTGCAGTGCAGGTACCCCTCGCTTCTCCTCCATAACTGGGTCTTCGTGCAATGCTGAATTGTGTTTACTTTTACAGTGAAAGCACTTCGGTGGACTTCTGCATGTTTTCGCTCGATGACCAATCCTCAAACAATTGAAACAACGATTTCCTTCAATCAATTTTGATTTTCTTTCTTCGATGTTTGTAACTACCTTACACTTTTCTGCATAGTGTTCCCCTTGACAAAAATAACACTGAAGCTTTCGTTCCCTTTCTCCATCTTTGATAACTGCGAAGGCTCTCGTTGTTCCTCGATATTCTGTAAGGCTTGTTCTCTCAGACTTTCGAGTGGTCTTTGTGTCAAGTTTTCGGCTTATCTCCCTTGCCTCAATTTCTTTCCTTATGATGTCCAAAATCTCGTCTATTCGCCAAATTTGCTCTGATGTCTTTCGAGCCACTTGCAAGGTAATTTCTGCCGGCATTCTTGACATTATCACGGGCACTAACAAACTGCCATATCGTTCCGATGAAATGCCTAACGTCTCCAGTCCGCGGACGTGCACATTGATATTGTCGTATATCGCTCGTATCTGTGACACAGTTTCATTTGGACAACTTTGCAAATTTAACAGCGCCTGCATGTGAGCGCTAATTATTTGCTGTGGATTTCCAAATCTTGTCTGCAAAATGTTTATAGCATGCTCATAGTTCTCTTCGGTAATTGCCAGCCCCTCCAAGGCTTTAAATGCAGTTCCTTCAAGTGATCGCATTAGATAGTTCATTTTGTGAACCGCCGATATCTGTTCATTTTCATGCACAGCACACTGAAAGCTTTGCCAAAAGGCTTGATACTTCGTCACATCGCCAGAAAAATTAGGCAAATTAATTTTAGGCAGCTTTACACCAATATTTTCCGAACGTGAGGAGCTACCACTCCTATTCAGCTGTCCATTTGCCGGTGCGAAGGGCGTTGCATCGGTCGTCAATTCATTTCGAATAGCGGGTGTCGGTGTAGAAACTCCAGTCGGTTCAGCAAGTCCGTGTAAAGCTCCAACAACAGTACCCCTTTTGCAAGCCCCAATTCTCGATATAATTTCCTCGATCTTCACATCTATCTCGGCTGATTCTTCGATTTCTTTCTCTATTTCGTCAATATGACATTTTGCCAAAATTTCATCGTTCAAGTTACACAACAGCCTCCTTTTCTGCTGAAGAACAGACAAAATCGAATCCAGCTTCGCTAGGATTTCCGTGGTAAGGGCATCACCATGATCTCGTATTATCAAAGTCGCTTCTCGCTCGAACCTCGTAATTGCTGCCCTGTTTCCACCTCGAGTTCTCTTCAGTCTCTCCATATTTCCGTTCTCGATTCTTCCTGCTTCCGCGCGACGTTCAACTTCGTCTTCCTGCGTGGACATTTCGTTTCGTTCCAACTCGCTTAATCTCACAATTCAGCTCGAAATATTTTCCTTATACCCCAGCCCCACGTTGGGCGCCAGTGATTTAAAGTCTAGGTCGGAGCATAGAGAAATTCCATTTGTGAGATTATGTATGTGATTTTCTTAACAAAATTGTGCTTACTACATACTCAGCCACAACAGCCAACTAACTAACTTTGAGGTCATGTGCCGAAGCGATTTAGCACGAAAGACCTGTCAACGCAGTGGTCGACGGGAGAAAGACTGGGCACCACCCTATTCCCAGGACTCGATCGCTCCAACAGTGTGGTTGGTTTTTGAACCATTTTCCAAAATGTGTCCATGAGTTATCTAACGTTAAATGGGAAACGAACTAGGCTATTTGCATGAACAGAGTCGCCCTGAATATGAATTGCTTGTTTTCGGTCGTTGATCTGGGCAAATAAAGTTTTTAGAATCAGTTTTCGCATTTTACAAAATACCACCTCGAAACTTGTATTTTGCGAAATTTCGCATTTTCGCATTATGCGAAAATTTTCGCAAAATACAATAAGCCGTCAATAATTACAACAACTTGGTTGAGGCACTCAAGTCTCGTTTCGGCGCTCAAAACCTTGATTTTCTATTTCGCCAAGAGCTTTATTCTCGAAAACAAGGACCTTTGGAGCCTTTATCACTGTATACGGCCGACATAATCAAAATGTGCCAACGTTTAAGTATTTCTGACAAAGACATGATGAACATTTTCATTAATGGCCTTTCTAGTGAAATAAAAAACTATGTCATTCTTAATCAGCCAGATTCGTTTGGAAAAGCCGAGAGCCTCGCCCGTTTGCGCGATGCAGTTATAAAGAACACGCCTGATATGCGAAATTCCAGTACTTTCCAAGACCAACGTATTAAGGAACTCGAAGGACAAGTGAATTTATTGATGTCTTCCATGTCGGCCAAACGTTTACCAACGCAAGCATTACCAGTACAGGCTGTTGGATTCGAAAACTTTTCCCAGCCTGCCCCCGTACCTGTAGCTACTGCTGCTGCTAATTATGTTTCACGTTATGAGCTATCTGAATTAAGACAAGACATGTTGGCAGTTATGGATGCTAGGTTGAAACAAAATTTTCAAGGAAAAGGGGGTCCTAATTATTTTCCACCACGTCATGGTCAAAAGGGTGTTCGTGGCCGCAACCTGCGCGCAACGGACGGCCAACCAATTTGTAATAAGTGTCAGAAAGTTGGCCACGTGGCTCGTTATTGTCCAGAGTCAAATCAATCATTTAACAATGCTCAGAATCAAAGTTTCAGAAACGGTCAACAACATTTAAACGGAATGGGACCTTCTCGGTAGGGTCAATTAAGGTCCATAACCGCCCTATTAATGTATTTCGCCCCAAAAAGAAAAACTCTAAACCTGATAAAGAACTGCAGACGTGGTTTGACAATCGAAAACTTTCGAAATCCTGTCAAAGTACTAGTAATCGTTTTGTACCTGACGTAACACAAACTTTTGGCCGTGAATGTCAACCCATTCAAACTGATCTTGCGAATAATTTGGCAGGAAAATCGATTTATCAAGAATCTAACAATGAAAAGGAAATACTAAACAATGATTTGCCGCTGATTTCATCTGAATTCTCTTATTCGTCGTCGACTCAAAGTAATGTCCTTATCTGGGGGATTGTAGAGAAACAAAACTTTAAATTGTTGGTCGATACTGGTGCAGCTGTAACTGTAATTAGTGACAAATTTTATAACGACATTTTGCGTGTAGCCTATCGCGTGCGCCGACAAGAAAGTCTTAACAGCGTGAAGACTGCGGACGGAAAAGAGGTTCCTGTTATTGGAGCTGTCTCGTTTCCAATACTCGTAGGATCGGTTTCCTATCAATGTCATGCTTTTGTGGTAGCTGGTTTAGCTTATAATATTGTGCTTGGTCGTGACTTCTTGCATGAGTACGGTGCAGTTATTGATGTCCGTCAGCAATTTGTCGATTTTTCTGGTAAAAACAAAATCAATTTTGCCTCAGGGGAGTACCCCCCACTGATCTCTGATGTAAGAGTTTCAAAAACTTTTGTTATCGATGCCCAGAGTGAATTGGTAATTCCAGCTCGTTTAGAAAAATTTGCTACGTCACATGTTGTTGGCTTAATTGAAGCAGTGCCTAAACTTTCTGATCGTTATCATCTGTATGGGGCCTGCTCGTTGTCTTCTCCTAATGAAAATGGTGAAGTGACTTTTCGCTTACTAAATCCTTCAGACACACCTGTCATTCTGTACAAAGGTTCAACTGTAGGTAGATTTCATCAAATAACATCCCCTGATGACATAATTTCGCTAGAATCTAAAGAGGTATCATCCATGGAAGCTCCTTCGCAGAGTCAGTATAATTCTTCTCCTCGTGAATTCAGTCTCCAGTTTAAGTCACTGCCTAATCCTTCACTGTCTACTGCAGAAAACACTCAGCTGAATGAACTTTTGAATGAATATGCTGACATCTTTGCATCATCATCTCTTGATCTTGGTCACACAAATATCATTGAACATGAAATCGATACTGGTGATGCTAGGCCTATCAAGCAGCAGCCTTATAGAGTTTCTCAAGCACAAAGAGCAGAAATCGACCGTCATATTTCGAATATGCTTGAGCAGAAAATAATCAGTGTTTCTTGTAGTCCTTGGAGCTCTCCTGTTGTTTTAGTGAAAAAGAAGGACGGTACAACTCGATTTTGTATCGATTATCGAAAACTTAACGCTGTCACTCGTAAAGATAGTTATCCTTTGCCTAGAATTGATGATGCCCTTGATGCTCTTTCTGGTTCCCGATACTTTTCAACTCTTGATTTGCAATCTGGATATCATCAAGTTGCAATGCACGATGATTCTAAAGAGAAAACTGCCTTTATTGCGCATTCGGGATTGTACGAATTTAATGTGTTAAGTTTTGGCCTAACGAACGCCCCGCCGAACTTTCAACGTCTAATGAGCAATGTGTTACATGGCCTCGATTGGAAAATTTGCTTAATATTCATAGACGATATTATCATCTTTTCGGAATCTTATGAAGAACATCTCGCACGCTTGCGTCTCGTATTTAATCGTTTGCGTGATGCGAACTTGAAACTAAAGCCCTCGAAGTGTCGTTTCGCCAGTCAGTCTGTTGACTTTCTCGGTTTTGTGGTTTCATCAAAAGGAATTTCACCTGATTCCAGCAAGATTGAAGTTGTTAAATCGTTTCCAGTTCCAAAATCAGTAAAGGAGGTTCGTAGTTTCCTCGGCCTTTGTAATTACTACAGACGTTTTGTTGAAGGTTTTTCGAAAATTGCTTCACCTTTGAATCGTTTAACTCGCAAGGATGTTGTGTTTGCTTGGACACCTGAGTGCCAGTCTGCTTTTCAAACATTAAAGAACCGTTTGTGTTCTCCTCCGATTCTGGCCTATCCAGACTTTAATTTGCCTTTTCATCTGTTCACGGATGCAAGCCATTCAGCGTTAGGCTATATTTAAGGACAGATAGTCGATGGTAAAGAGCACGTGATAGCGTATGATGGTCGTGAATTGAGCTCTGCTGAAACTCGCTATAGCACTACTGAGCGTGAAGCCTTAGCTGTTGTGGATGGCATAAAAAATATGAGCCTTATTTGTCCGGAAAAAAGTTCTTTGTTCATACCGATCATGGCAGTTTATCTTGGTTAATGCGTGTCAAAGACCCTACTGGCCGCCTTGCATGTTGGGCCTTATGCTTGCAACAGTATGATTTTGAAATTATTCATCGCCCTGGTGTTGCTAACGGTAATGCAGACGCCCTTTCTCGTCGCGGCTATTCTGCATCTCCTTCTGCTCATGAGGTATCCTCTCTCGATTTACCAGTAGCAGTTGTCGACCATCCTTGCCCACCATCATCTACCTTGCATAAATTGCAACGACAAGACAAAGATCTTGCTGACATAATTCAGTATTTAGAAACGTCGGAATTGCCAAGTAGTGACACTAAAGCTCGCGCGTTATTGCTGTCTATCGATTCTTTTTATTTGGATGAACATAGGATCCTTTGTCATCTATGGACCCCTGGAAAGCGTCGTGCTAAG